TATCCGTATGTCATCGGGTTCAGTCTCATAGGCCTATATCTAGCAAGTGCATTTTGAACACCCGGCAGTGACCTACTAATAGGCTACTTCTATAGGACCTACCGTACAATATTATTTGCACAAATGCATTTTAATACGATATCACTCTGGGAGAGAATGTACGATTATGCATACAATTTACCTCTGTCGTTTTTGGGTCATCTTCACATACGATTTTCGGTAAAGACATCATTCCCGACAGTGCTGGAAATAGGTTGAGGATTTCCGCCATATTGGTGTAGTGTTCTTTATGAGTCTATTTTCTAATTAATTTAGCAAATATAGACAACTTACTATACATTACATATAGTGTGTTTCCATTTACAGTATTTGAAATCAAAGAATGTTGAACTCCCCAATATTAAAATGGCGTTCTACTAGTCATGCTCAAAAGACTCGTTGATGTTGATATTATTATTACCGAATGCTATTGTTATACATGAATGAACAATCGATGTGTGTTTGCGTCAGCCAGTAATATTTTGCCCTACCTGACGTGTTATCGTACTGAATATTTAGTATACGTTCCAAAATTATTTCCAAGTGATTCGAACCCACAACCCCCATATACCAAGCCTGGTGTCCTAACTACTAGATCAATGAGCACGTACTTAGTTAAAAAAAATGTAGAATCCGATCCCCAAGTAGCAGCGGGTAGGCCTACTGCAACGTTATTATCTACAGGTCGGTGGGTTCGATTCCCACTCGATTTTTTTTGCAAATATTTTGGAACGTTATAGTACTGTGTATTCAGTAGGATAACATGTCAGATAGGGCAAAACTCACTCCAATTTACGCTATTATGTACAGCAGGCCTACTGTGATTGCCTCGCTTCTTAATAATAATAATAATAATAATAATAATAATAATAATAATAATAATAATAATAATAATAATCATAGGAGTGATGTTTCCTGACGCAAACTTCATATCTTTATAATAATAATAATAATAATAATAATAATAATAATAATAATAATAATAATAGTAATAATAATAATAATAACAACAACAACAACAACAACAACAACAACAACAACAATAATAATAATAATAATAATAATAATAATAATAATAATAATAATAATAATAATAATAATAATGGGCATAGTACTTCATTTAAATGAATAATCTTGAAGTTTAGTACATGGGCATATTCTAGATTCAAGATTATTTACTTTGTGTCCATTCGGAAAATCGTACATCACATAGCAAACGACAAAACATCAATATACATATAGTCAGGCCCTAAAACATAATTTGATATTTTTGATTGAGAATTCTAATGGATATACACAGGTTTGTGATTTTAACCTTTTACCAGAGGGTAACCATCTGTTAATCTCACAGATATCATCTAGTTTTCTCCAGCCAACTTTATTCTGTTATAATCGATCTTTTCGGTATACAAACAAATCTGCAAGTATATTTTTAAGAATTAAAAAAAAAATATGATGGAAAAGTTACAATGATTAATTTTGCAGTACATTGCCAATGTCATAACAATTAATCAGCATAACTACGATCATAAATGCTTGGGCAGGAAAGCCGTAACAGAAGACGGTATATAAAACACCAGCTGTAGGATTTGAACAGAAAAATAATGCTCCCGATTTCCTACAACTTTAATGAAAAAATTCTTAAATTTATTACAAAATATCCTTCCTTATATAGTAATCCATCATTGCTGATACCAAAGAGTATAAAACTGCAAGAGGTCCGACTGCCCTGATTTTGTATGCAGCAAGGTATCATGCAGGCAATGGAACGTTAAAAGTACTGCCACGAAGTAGGGGGCGCTACACATAATTTAGAAAATCGTACCCGTTGCTCTCGAATCTTAGACATCGGGACATCATCGGGAGACAGTACCTAAGCAGTGGTCTCCAAAATCTGTAAGCCTATGATTAGAGGATGACAAAATAAATTTAAAAAAAAACAAACCCCTAAATATATACCACAACTGGACTCCGGAGTTAACCATTCTGTTATCCAATACTTTCATACTGCTTTTAATTTACTGTATTTATATATGTAAGCAACATAAACACTACAATAGCAGTGGTACCAGCAGTTGGGGGAGGGGCATCGGGAATTTTCCCCTCATCTTACAGGTTCGGACCCCCTTGTCGTCCGACGCCACGACTAGGTCGTCGTCGGATAAAAAATAATAATAAAATACTAAATTGCCTATCTAAGTACAGTACGGTTATTTTGTAATTGCTAATCCCTATTCTGAAATTGATTATTTAAGCCGCTCAACCCTTAACATTGCACCAAAACTTGCATAGATTGTGAATCTGGACCACATAATCCCTTGTTTCACAGCCGAATTTCCGCTTGTTCTCCTTCCCCGCTTTGGCCGTCGGGGCTTCTCTCTCACTTCGACCAATAACCAGCCCATTGCCCTGCAACTAATATGCAAGCAATGAATATACCTCAAGACAAATAAATTATTAATTTTTATTTTTCATTAGCGTTAATATTGTTGATTACTTTAATAAAATTTAATAATATGATCGTTTTCATTAGACTTTATTGTAATAGTTGATATTATCAATATTATCATCACCATTATCAACGGTACCATATTACTATTTGTTTTACAATTTTACAATCGATACTTTACATTCTTTATTATTACTATAATTTTTACTTTAATTTTTATTTTTTATTTTTATTTTTTTTTTTTACTTTTTGTAATTATTATAATATTAGAACATTATCATTATCATCAATATTAATATAAATGTTATCATAATCATCACCATCAATATCATCATCGACATTAGTACTTACCATCATTATTATCTGTATAAACTGATTTATAAATTTTAAGATATATTCCTGTAGGAAACATGTTCAATAAGTAATGTTGCTGATGTAATGCACACCAATTCACACAACAATTAACTACAGTAATTTGAAAATGGTTATAAGTTTATTCAAATCCATTAATTAAAAACTATAGTAGTACAATATACTATAATACAATACTGTCTACATCAGTACACATGCCAGACCAGCGGATCTCATACTCTTTGGCCGACGACCAAAACAAATGTCCAGGCGATTTGCCGATGACCCATTTCCCTAGACGTTAAAAATAAATACCCAAAAGTAGAAGTAAAATTATACTTAGAAAGCAGTGTCTTTATTTAACAGCAAATTAAGCATGATATAAATTCAATCTTTCAAAAATCCAAGAGTCTACCGACCTTTTAATAATTTTGGCGACCGCATTAGTTCACAACCCATTGCTGTAGATTATCACAATCAGCAAAAATTACAAAAAACAATACTGATCATGGCACTTCATTAGAATGAGTTGTCTTAAACTTTAGATTATCAAGCTGTATATACGAATGATCTTAAGAAGAGGATACCAGATTACGTATTTTGAATTAAAAAAGAAGATTATCCCAAAATGTTAACACATAGCAATTCTGGTTGTGGTTTAATACTACACAGCACCCTCATGTGGAGTCATTTTAGGAAATTTTCAGGAAGACCACGAAGTTGAAAAATGTACACAAATCAATCTTCAATTACAATTTTCAGAAGGATTTCAGAAAAAAAAAATCATATATGCTAGGGAGAAAAAGCTAAAATGATTTGTATTAATACTGACAAATACCATAACAATCAAGATCCTTTTAATTTCATTTTTCATATATTGCACGATGGTGGAAAAGTAAGAAGTAGGCTCAAGAAGAAAAACACTGCTAAAAAAGGTTACAAAATAACAACAAAAAGAGTACAAAGACAACAATAATAATATAATGCGCTGTAAAAACTGAAATGATGACCAAAGGGAAAACAGCACACACCTGCAAGATTCCAGATAAAATCATGATGGTTTCGTTCATATAAATGCAGCCAGATCACACCACAAAGGATTCCTGTCTCAACTACAAACAGCTGTTATTAACTAATGTGTACAGTATTCACATAAACAAGGTCATACCTGTGTACATATATTATGGTTATACATGCTATACTCTATTTGTACATTTTAAAAAGGTAGTAGAATCAGCATAACATAAAAAATGCTTATATTCGGCAAGAAAGTGCTGAGGCTTAGAATTTAAGAGAAGTTCTGACTAAATTGCAAGCCAGGACTAAAAAGCAATGAGCCCAAGTGATGTTCTCCCACTTTTTTAGAGAGCTTTCGATTGAGGACGTACATCGAAAATTTACAATGAATTCACTCAATCGTAACAGGCATCGTGTACGTTTTATGTTGTATTTCAAATCAATTCTGATTTTTGTTTGGATGTACAGTTAAATTAACATGGTGTCATTACGTTTTAAGTTGTTGAATATCGAAAACTCACAATTTTCTATAACTGCTCCCAATCATATAATTCAAGTATCAAAAACATACTCTTGGTTCTATTTATGAAATTATAAAATGCAATTCAAATATAAATCCTTAAATTTACTTAATAATATCTATAAAAAAGTATATACATATACATATATATATATATTATATCTGTCTCTTATACACATCTTACTCTTTGGACGACGTATTAGCCTATATCCCTTTATACTTTAATGTTTTAACTATATTTTTATATATTTTATAATTGTTTGTCAATGTTAAATGAAGTGAATTTCTTTTTGGACAATAAAACTTGAATTGACTTGAATACAGTAAACCTCGAATTGAAGCCCAGTAGGCTTAATCTTAAGATGAAGCCCATCTCGAATTGAAGCCCAGTGGACTTAATCTTGAGATGAAGCCCATCTCAAATTGAAGCAACTCCTCTTTAGTTTGCATAAAATTAGCCTCGAAAGAACAAAATAGCATAGGCTACTTTTTGAGACATTACAAATTACATACACTATACATGAATTTCAGAAAACAAAATAAATGCATGCTTCATTTATACAGTAGTTTAGGTGATTTAATGCCAGTTAAATACACTCCATGATATTCATTCATTTTGAAAAGAAGCCCATCCAAATTTCACAAAAAAAAAGAAGCCCAGAGCTTCAATTCGAGGTTTTTGCGGTATCGATTTATCAGTGTATCCATTTTTCTTCCGCAAACTTCAGCATATAGTGAGTGGAGAGTTGGATATTTATAAAGGCTGACTTATCAGTAACCTCAAAAGACATCTAAAATGTATTTTTTAATATAAAAATGCTTCTACAAGTATTTTTAATGTCCCTACTCCTTTATATAGTAATCTATCATGGCAAATATACTGTATATAAGGACAATAAAAAAAATTCTTGTGTTAGCCACGTTTTGGAAAAATCCAAAAAATAGGTAGGTCAGTAGGGAAAGTTTTTTTTTAAATTATATTTTTACCAAAAATTGTTTATGCCTTAAAGTATAAAATACACAAAAATACAACAAAGACCATATTAAAATCTATATTGAAGAGCGAAACGATCGCATAACACTGTTGCATCGCCTACCATCACAAGATAGGCCTATTCAGGGCTTGCCCTAACTTTTTTTGGTAACTAGCCCACTGGGCTAATTTACTAGAGATTTTACTAGCCCACAGAATATTTTACTAGCCCACAGACAGGAAAAAATTTTGTTTCACAATATTTATTAGCGACAATTAAATTTGAAGGTTGATTTTCAATTTCTGTAGCATTGCTGTTTGAGCTACCCTCTCAAAATATTGTTGAATAAATAAATTAAAAAAAATCACCCATGCTGCAAAATCGACTCTGGTTATAACAGGGACAGGACAGATGAGCATGTTTTACATCTCCCCGGTTATAACTTTTGCTTTCTAATATTTAACAAAGGGCCCAGAAATCAATCAAAACAATGCACCTGTTAAATATTTAGGTCTCAAGTCACTCGCCCCCAATGGCAATAAATCTTGCTTAGGCCAGGCTAGGCTAGGCTACCCAGGCCTAGACAAGACCTAGGGCCTAGGCTAGCCTAGCCTACCTATAGCCTTGAAGTACTTAATTATTGAAAGTTGAACATTTTAAAAATATCATTATGAGAAAATAATATGAATATAAGGTAGTACATTAAATTAAATGTTCTAACTACCTAAATTAACCAGATTGAACGATCAAACGATCTTCTATAGAGAAAGATAACATGCCATCCACAGTAGTGGTTGGTTGGTGAATGACTTGGGGATCATCTTGATAATTAAACACTCACGCATGTGGAGAGCTGAAAGCTAGCTAGAGTGTACTCTCTGGGCTGCGGTACCTCCTGTGCAGGGATTGTCTCGAAAGTTCCGTTTTTTTTTTTTTTTTAATGAAAATGTTTTTCTTGCTAATTCTCCACTAGACAACCGGGCAACATGAGGAGTAAATAGGCTAGCCCGGAGCGGTTTTTACTAGACAATGTACGCCGGGCTAGTACTAAATCGAGCCCTGCTATTCCAGCCTTTTTAGCTCATTAAAAAATATTTTTCAATGTGTAAAAAAAAACAAAAAAAAAACTAAAATGCCAACTGTCAATTTTGAACATTTTGGGTCGGTCGGGCGTGGCCAACACAATAATTTTTTTCATTTGGCCTAAGATCATATAATTTCCTCTTTAAATTATACATTCTTGAGATTTTGTCAATGTACGCAATTCAACATCAGAGAGTGGCACACTTGATAATAATATAAATTAATCAAATTAATCTACGGAATACAATATCGACACCTAGAAGCTAGAGTCATGTGAGGTTAGCATAACATTTTAACTATATTATTTTAAAGTATCTTCTGTTTATGGAAACCAATGCTTACAGAAGATGAATCAGACTAGAGGAACTTCTTTAGTCTCATGTTCGGTGTAGGCAGGCAGCTGTCCAGTGGCTTGACCCATGTACTGGACATTCTGCTGTGGTTGACCCATGACCTGTGGTTGACCTGTAAACTGTGGTTGACCCGTGAGCTGTGGTTGAGCAACAACCTGCTGCTGCACCATGGGATATCCTTGGATGGCAACCTGACCTTGGTTAACAGTTTGGCCTGTGATAGAAATATACTTAAAATAAAAAACTACTATTGTTGGGTTCTAGTAAAATACTGCAAATTTGTCAAATGTTGTATGGTGACATACAGACTCTCACAAGATGGTGGATTTTAAGGCAGTTTAATAATGAAGATATAAAAACAAACATACCAGGTTGAACAACATAAGATGCATACTGATGTTGGCCCATACCCTGCAATGCAAGAGAAAAGATGTGCAATATTAGATATTATTACTGTAATACAATTTTGACTATAATTAGATCCAAGATTTTGTCTGATATAATTCAAATTGTACACTAAGGCGCACCTCTATTTTGAATTCTATATTTCCATGGCAATGGCAGACCTGCATCACAGTGGGGAATAGAGAATGCCTAGTGGATAAATTTAATAAACTGAAATTTGCCAATCAGTGACTTCACTTCTTTGGTTCAATCAATAAAGGTTAATTTTGTTTGCATGACTGTTGTCATAAAATTGGATAAATTTTAATAGGTTAGTGAATGTTAGTTAAATATGCCTTTACTGTGTCCTTTTTAAAATCTAATATTAGTCATATATGAATAAATTTTCAAATATGACAACCCCCTCAAATACAAGTAATAACAACAGCCAGAATGCTCAAGTCATGGCGCTTCTCCATTGGATATGAAATTAATAATTTATGTGAAATCAGAAATATCAAATGAAAGTAAACAGACACCTCCCTAATCAATGCTTCGGACAATTATTCATTTTGTATAAAAAATAACTTAAAATTAAATATATTTTCAATTGATTTTTCTACGACACATGAACATATTTAACAAAAAATATTGAAAGCAGTTATGAGAGTGGAGTAGCTTAGTGGTTAAGGTGCCTGCCTTCTAATCTCAGGGTCCTGGGTTCAATTCCTGTCACAGCTCCCTAAGCCTCATAAAGAGACTTCACTGATAAAAGCATCACATTATTATTTTTATTATTTAGAAGGGCCCCTTGATATCAGCCAACCTTCTAGGATACGCTGGAAGTATCACCATTTACGGTAAAGAAAAAAAAAGATGCAGATTTTTTAATATCGGGAAAAACTGGGGAAAAGGGGGGCACAACCACCCTTTTCCCCCATTTTAAAAATATTTGAAAATGTGTATCTCATTAACCACTCTAAAGTTTTTCGTCAAATATACTTTTTGTGTCTTAGAAAAATCGGTTGTACAACATATCAAAACATTTTTTTCCTCCGAAGTATGGAGTCCATGGTGGAAGGCTCTGTCAACATTTCTCGTTAGTTATTAAAAAACTTAAAATATAAGAACTTTTCTTTTCGTCAGTAGAACGAACATACAAAAGCATGAAAACTTGCTTCTCAACAATTATTGTCATATTTATACCTGGGAGTAGAAGTAGAATGTGGTGGAATTGACTCATATAGTACATTAGTTAAGATTGAGAATGATTATATTTATGTCACTGCCTGCACTTTCCCACCCAACACTGCGTTGTTGGTGAGTGGTAATATGCTTCCTTGCTTTGTGTAATACTACAGTATGTAAAGAATTGTTTCCTGAACTGTACTTAAGATGTGTGTGATCCTGTGGCACCATACAGTAAACAGGAATTTGCTTTCTTTCATATTGACCTTTGACACTTCCTCCATATTTTAGGCCATCAATTATATTTTATCCAGTCAGGTCTCTCATTCCAGTTTTTACATATTTTTGTATCTGATACACACTTTGGTAGGAATAATCACATTGGAGTACTTTCAAACAACAGAATTAGTTGCATATGAATCGCAAAAAATACAATCATTTGTTAGCAGCCTTATAAGATATTCTTGTAAAACTTATATTCTTATAAAACTTAATAATAAATGTTGGTACAAAATTTAAATTTTTGTGCATAATTTCACCCACTTGTCACAAAATATTGTAATTACACACATAGTACACAGTCTACTGTTATTATTTAGCTATTAACTTTGTCTTCATATTTATATTAATTTTATTTATTTTTTATGTTTTATTATTAATGGTCATTGTTTTTGTTTCATATTTATTTATTTTATATATATATACAGTATATTTTTTATAATGATTATATGTATGTATATACTGTATGTTTATATATATATATATTTATTTATTATTCTTATTTTTATTATTTGTATGTATATTCTGTATATTTATAAAAATTTATATATGTATATTATTTATAATTTTTGTTAATTTTTTTTACACCATTTACTTATCTTAATTATTTAGGCCTACCTTAATTTTTCTAACTTTTCATGCAATTTTTTATTCTTTTGAGCTTTTTTATACTTCTGACTTCTTTGATCTTTTGTAACTTTTGCTTTAAAATTGTATTTTTTATGTGATTGTTTGTGTTTTGTTTTTTCTATGTTATTATGTCTCATGTTAATTGTAGTTGTAACAGCACCTCGAGTCCTGATTGGTTATCCAACCTATGTTTTTCTCCCTTTTTAAACAATTCAGATAATTTTACCTCAAATATTGATCCCGATTCTCAGTTTTTTTCTAATAATAATCAAAATATCTCAGAATATTATGACCCTGATGACTTCCCTGTCACAAAAACCTCCAATGAAATTTTCTCTACTATTCATTTTAATTCTAGAAGCATTTAAAAAAATTTTGATCAAATTAAACAAATCTTGGCATCACTCAAACTACCATTTGATATTATTGGAGTGAGTGAAACTTGGATCAAATACGATAATCCCCTGGTGCAGCTCCCCAATTATAATTTTGTCTCCCACCATAGAACACATAAAGACGGCGGTGGAGTAGCCATGTATATTCATGATAGTCTTCAATTTTCTACTAGACATGACTTCGTCTTCACCCCTCTAACTGTGAATCAATTTTTATTGAGATTGCAAGACCCAATTCCAAAAACATTGTCGTCGGGACTGTATATACATCCCCATCCCTGGACCCTCTGCAATTTACTGATGAATTTGACACTGTCCTCTCCAAATTATCAAGTGAAAACAAAATTGTCTATATTCTCGTAGACCTTAATATCGATATCTTGAAGTATGAGTCTGATAATTGTGCTCGCTACTTGGTCAACTCTTTTTTCGGCAATCATTATCTTCCCCGAATTCACAGACCATCTCGTATCACAAAAACCTCAGCTACCTTGTTAGATAATATCATTACTAATCAATTTGACTTTCCCAATTTGAGCGGACTAATCTATAGCGACATTTCTGATCATCTCCCTGTTTTTAATATTTCCTATTTTTCACGTGTTGTAAATAGCTCAAATAAGGAAGAGAATCCCAAGTTTAGAAAAATTAATCCCACCACCTTAGAAAACTTCCGTTGTGAGGTGTCCACTCAACAGTGGTCTGAAGTCATGAATATTCAGGACCCTAATAAAGCTTATTCAAATTTTGAAACCACATTAAAGACAATTTATGATAATCATTTTCCTCTCCTAAATTCCCCCCAAAAATGTAGTATGATTAAACCATGGATGTCCGATGATTTGCTTAAATCAATTAAATATAAACAGAAATTATATGCTAAATTTCTCCACTGCCCCTCTACTACCAACGAAAGAGCCTACAAAATTTTCCGCAACAAATTAAATTATATTATCAAAAACACAAAAAAAAAAACATTTCCAAAATACATTTCTCGAACATAAAAACGATATCAAGGCAACTTGGAAAACCATTAATTCTTTAATCAATAAATCAAGTAGTCAACATTCCAATACCTCCTTTAATTGTGATCAAGAATTGACCAAAGATCCAGATAAAATCTCTAATGCTTTTAACAAATACTTTGTCGAAATTGGACCTTCCCTTTCAAACAAAATTCCCCACGCCAATAAATCATTCAAAGACTTCCTCCCAAACCCAACCAATAATTCCATATTTCTTACCCCAGTTGATGAGGCTGAAGTGACCCAAGTACTTGCTTCTTTTAAAAACAAAAATTCAAAGGTATTGACGACTTCCATACTAAAGCCATCAAATACATTGCTAATCTCATCTCTCGTCCATTATGCCATATATTTAACATTGCCCTAACCAGTGGTGTGTTCCCAGACAGGATGAAGTTAGCGCACGTTACCCCTATTTACAAATCAGGCATCAAATCTGACCTCTCTAACTATCATCCCATTTCAATTTTATCCATTTTTTCGAAGGCCTTGGAAAAGGTAATTTACGATCGAATATTCTCGTTTATTACTAAATACGAGATACTTTATAAAAAACAGTTCGGTTTCAGGAAAGGACACAGTACTTCAATGGCCCTTATCGATTTAACAAACAAAATTGTTAATGCTTTTGAAAATCGCCAGCTTGCAATTGGACTTTTTATAGATCTTTCCAAGGCCTTCGACACCATTGATCACAATATTCTTTTATTTAAATTGTCCCATTATGGAATTCGCGGCCCCGCCCTTAGCCTTCTAAAAAGTTACCTCTCCAACCGGGCCCAGTGTACTATGTATTCAACCTCTATGTCTAATTACAGGCCAATTACTTGTGGAGTTCCTCAAGGCTCCTTATTGGGGCCCCTCCTTTTTATTTTATACGTTAATGATATCAGTCAATCCTCAAAGTTACTTAATTTTTTTCTTTATGCAGATGATACCACTGTGTTTTGTTCTGATCATAATATCCAATCAATATTTGATACTGTCAAATCCAACCTGATTCCCTTATCCCAATTCTTTGCTGCTAACAAACTTTCAATTAACCATAAGAAATGTAACTTCATCCTGTTTGGGACCCCACAGAAGTTAAAATGTATTGATACCATCTCTTATACACATCTAGATGTGTATAATTGACAGCTATGACATACCCTCTGTTCAATCAGTCAAGTTCTTAGGAGTACATATTGACAGCGGGCTTACATGGAAAAAGCATATCAACGAAACTGAGAATAAAATTTCAAAAAGTCTTGGTATTGTTTTTAGATTATCCCAATTTGTACCCCATAATATTCTACGTATCCTTTACTGCCCCCTAATCCTTCCTTATTTGAGCTATTGCAATATCGTTTGGGGCAATACCTATTTAACCAACATTAACAAACTCCACATTCTCCAAAAAAAAGCTATTAGACTCATATCTGGCGCTCCACCACGGTCTCATTCCTCTCTCTTATTTTCCAATTTAAACCTTCTCAAACTCACTGACATTAACCGAATTCAACAAGGT